CACGCACGCACGCACGCACGCACGCACGCACGCACGCACGCACGCACACACGCACGCACGCACGCACGCACACACACACGCACGCACGCACGCACACTTCATAATCCTATTTGATGAGGCAATATCTTAATGATACCTGATGTGGCCCCTTTGGCCCCCCTCAAGGGAGGTCTGTCCTCAGTCATCATAATCATCCTCACTGCTTCTTTTAGAGGAAGACAATCTGTATAACGCTAAGGGTTTCAGCCTTATCGATGCAGGGAGCTGTTCTAAAGCAACCCGGCTGCCTTTGTGAGTCAGAGAGGGAGAGCGTAGATTCCAGGGAATCTAACAAAGTATTGTTTTCCTCATAAATCAGAGACTTATAAGTAGGATGGTCTGATTATAGTGTATCTGTTATCTGAGGTCTTTGTGCGTTGCCTGGTTCAAGCTTAATGTGTGAATCAGTATGTTGGTCAGTAGCCCTTGTATCCACAGTCAGACTGGACAGTGTGTTTGGTGCAATGTAGCGGCTAGCCTTTGGAGCCCATTAAATCCAGAGGCTGTTTTTCCTGCTGAGTCTCACTAGGCCGTGACAGGGCCGGAGAGGGCTGCAAGGGAGAAACAAATAGCCCAACTCATCCTGGCCATAAAGAAGGTTGCACCACAACCCAATAAGGGTCTGACGCTGATGAATGTGACCAGGGACAGAAAGGCGACCCTGGCCAGTCTCCACCAGAAATGAAACCACAGGGATATAAAATAGGTTATTATCGTCACACAGTGACAGCCAAACGGACAGAAGGGCAGAGATCGATGGACGGACAAAGTGACTAAAAAGGAGGTTGAGTAGGAAGAGCAGCGAAGATTAAGGGAGAGATTACAGCCAGAAAAGTCCAAGGTTGGATAACCTCAGGATCCCTCCTGAATCTGCCGTAGTAGGATCTGAGTCGGGCTTCTTGTCTGGTTGTGAGGCTTGATGTTCTCAAATGCGTCAAAGCTTCGGCAACGAGATGCATATTCTAATAGCTCCACACAGACAGAAGAGCTGCCAGCCTCCATTCAAACGCTGCCACATGATAAAGATCAAGTGCTGACGGAGAATCGAGCATCGTGCTGCTTATAAGCATCAGTTCTTTCAGTGGAGGAGTACAGAAATTACAAATAGAATGTGTAGTAACTAATTAGCTGGGTATGCTCCTTGTGATATAATATATTTATTGTGTCCCTGCGACTGGGTATCTGCGTACAATGGCGAGAGTTGAGATCATGCAAAAGCGAAGCACCAATCTTCGATACCGGTCGATAATAGTGCTGATACTGACATATTGGATGAATTGAACCAGATATTAGTCAGAAGTAAACAATGAATCCACATTGAATACTGTTTCTTGGTCATTATTCAATATTGAAAAAATCACAACTTTATAAATCTTCTAGAAAAGTATACTTGTGAAAGTCCGAAAAAGAAACTTGGTGTATGAATATCTGATATGATAACTATGCGGTGATATGTAGCTACAGCCTCATGTGACCTTAGACTAAGAACGATTGGTGAAGCTCGTGGACTCACCGGCAAAGACATGGGTGGGGTGACGGGTGAAGGAAGGCTGCGGGCCGGCGACTGGTTTGGCCGGTGCGGCGGGGAGAGCTGCGTCTGTCCGGAGGTGGAGGAGCAGGTAGAGCCCGGAGACGGGACAGAGGTCTGCTGCTGGCTGGGCGGGGTCATGTGATGCTGGGATGACAGCTGGTTCTGGGTGTGGGCGAGGGTCTGTTGGTGATGGTGTTGCTGCTGTTGCTGCTGCTGATGTTGTTGTTGCTGCTGCTGCTGCTGCTGGTGGTGGTGCTGCATCTGTTGGAGCTGCTGCAGGTGTTGGAGCTGGGAGCTCAGTGATGAGGTAGCTGTTGATGAAAGAACAGCGAGTCGTTTGATTCGTCTTTGACCTGAACTCTCCATATAGAGAGCAACAAAACGCAAATCAAAGTGGGACGGACAACATGTGTTTTAGCACATAAACAGCGAGCCCTCATTATTTGAAGAATATGCTCACACCTCAGATAGAAACACTGGACACATGGAGGTGTGGGATGTATAGCATGAACAGTGAGAGGTAGATGCAAATTGCATGGAGCCACAACAAGGTCCTCCAGGGTTTTTAGGCTGCATGATAGAGTCAGTGAATTTAATTTAGATAGTTGGAGGACAAAGCTATCAAGCCTGACTGATATAATTGCTCTCTCTGGAGCCAAGAGTCTTCATTGTCACTTGGAGAATGTCAGAATCTTTGGTTTAATGGCTTCAAATCTCATAAGAAAGAGACATCCATCTTCACTGGAGGACTTCAGAAATAAACCCATTAACTAATTGGATCCAATAATGGAGCGCCATTAGAACTTAATTTCTACATTTAAATGCTTATACATTTTTATGCAGCTTAGCACTCAGGCTGAGCCAGTCTGCAGCCACACCAGCATGCAAATACTCCCAAGGATCCAGAATCCACCTCAAATATAAGATAGACAACAAATAATGTCTACTAAAGGTATCAGCAGTAATACTATACGTGGAGAATTGGGCTAAAAAACAACAGCTAAGCTGACCGTCACAGCTCTTTCAATAGAATAAAGGACAAAGCTCACAGATATGACGGATAGAAAATTGTTTTTATACATCTGCTCACATTCAGAAAGCTCTTAACGGCCTTCACATCCTTAAAAGAAACTATATTCTATACAAAACAATGAATGTATACAGTGACACAAAAAAGTGATTCATAGGTCACGCTAAATGCAAAGGGAATGAGACACGCAGTTAATCTGTTGCCTTTGACTCTGTGATGTTACGGCTTTGTAAAGAAAACAAAAGGATAACAGAAACAGATCACAACAGGATTTTCTCAGGATTGAAAGAGGACACGAGCTCGGAGGGAACAAGAGTCTGATCTGTGTGTTGATCTCTGACTGGACTTCACCGACTAACTGATATAATTGCACAAAAGCAACAATTTTTCTCTCTAAACTACTTTAATGAAACCCATTTTCTCCAAATATATATAAAAAAAAAAGTGCATTGAAATTCCCTTATGACAGATTTTGTTAAATTTGACACATTGCATGTACAGTATATATATACATATATATATATATACATATACACATACATATACATATATACATATACACATATATACATATACACATACATACATATACACATATATACATATACATATATATATACATATATATATACATATATATATATATATATACATA